TAGACTCATTACATGCAAAGTGAGATATTTCAAGCCTTTATTTGTTATAATTTTGATTATTATGGCGTACAGCTTATAAAAACCTTTTCACAATATTCTAATTTTGAATTTGGGGTTTTCATAAGCTGTAAGCCATAATCATCACAATTGTAACACATAAAGGCTTGAAATATCTTACTTTGCATGTAATGAGTCTATATAATATATAATAAAATCACCTTTTAAGTTGAATTACTGAAATAAATGAACTTTTGCACGGTATTCTAATTTTTCGAGTTTCACCTGTAGGTTGTGATCTTCCTACCATTGACAACATTTATGTCTCACGTTTGCAGAGAAAAGGTCTATCAATTCTATGCATCAGTATTTCATTCTTTGTAACGCTTGGGTTATATACAGTATGTATCTATGCATGCTTTTTTGTCTCAGTGTTATAATTGTGGAGCTCACCAAGAAAAATTCCAGATATCCTGTTTGTTATGGCAATAAATTAATAGTTTTTAACGCCAAAAGAAGGTTTGCTCCGACGCAAGCTGTTATAAATCTCGGTAAATCTGTGCCTCAGGGTATTGTGTGCTCACCCGGACCCCAGCAGAAGAAGAAAGCGGAGGGATAAAGCAGCATCCGTCGCTCCAGGAGCCGCAGAGTTGCCCAGTGATGGTCACCGAAAAACCCCTGAGACGTGACGACGCGCTTGTACAGCGAGCGAGCTTTACACATCAGAATCTGAAACACACAGGTGGAATACAGTGAGATAATGATTGAGTCGCATGCATTTTTGAGAGCAGTAATACTGTACATGCAATGATATGGTGAAATATTATATCTATCAGAAAAATATTAAGCAGCACATTTGTTTTCAACATTGATAATAATCAGAAATGTTTCTTGAGCAGCAAATCATCATATTAGAGTGATTTCTAAAGGATCATGTGACACTGAAGACTGGAGTAATGATGCTGAAAATTCAGCTTTGATCACAGGAATAAATTACATTTTACAATATTACTGTTGAAATGCTTGTACATTTGAATCATTAATTGCTCAGATATTCAGAAATGAGATGTTGAATCTCACCGTGATGCCGATGAAGGTGAAAAGGAAGGTGGCGAGGAAAATGACCATGCAATAGTTTTGAATGGCAACACATGCTGCGGCTTCCATCGTCACATATGAGGTGAGATAAACAGCCCCTGTGTGCATCAGCAAACATCTGGAAGACAATCAGCATCATGTTAAACAACTGTCCGGAACGCTGGATTCTGATTGGTCAGTCGCATCATTCTGGCTATTCAACTGCACAACTGACCATTGTTCTTCTGTGGTGCTTTAATGCAATTTCAACTCAAATCAATATATTTTATTGTGTTTTTTAAAATTTTTATTTGCTATAATGATCAGCTGATTGTTATGGAAGCTTGTTTCCATCACAGAATAAAACATTTTAAAAGATAATTACGATAAAAAGATAATTTTTATCTCACAATTGCGAGTTTACATCTCGCAATTCTGACTTTATTTCTCAGAGTTGTGAGATATAAAGTCGCAATTACGTGTTATAAAGTTAGAATTGCAAGATATAAACTCCAAATTTGACTTTTTCTTGCAATTCTGGCTTTATAATACGCAATTGAGTCTTTATATCATGCAATTCTGACTTTATAACTTCCCATTGTGTGTTATAAAGTTAGAATTGCAAGATATAAACTCCAAATTTGACTTTTTCTTGCAATTCTGGCTTTATAATACGCAATTCAGTCTTTATATCATGCAATTCTGACTTTATAACTTCCCATTGTGTGTTATAAAGTCAGAATTGCAAGATATAAACTCCAAATTTGACTTTTTCTTGCAATTCTGGCTTTATAACACGCAATTGAGTCTTTATATCACCAAAAGTTCTGACTTTATATCATGCAATTCTGACTTTATAACTTCCCATTGTGTGTTATAAAGTCAGAATTGCAAGATATAAACTCCAAATTTGACTTTTTCTCGCAATTCTTCTTTTATAACACGCAATTGTGACTTTATATCATGCAATTCTGACTTTATAACTTCCCATTGTGTGTTATAAAGTCAGAATTGCAAGATATAAACTCCAAATTTGACTTTTTTTCTCACAATTCTGACTTTATAACACAATTGCGACATTATATAATGCATTTCTAAGATAAAAAGTCAGAAATGCGTAATGTAAACTCGCAATTGTGAGAAAGTCAGAATTACCTTTTTAATTTTTTATTCTGTGGCAAAAACAAGCTTCCATAGATTGTTCATTAGACCCACACAAACAACTAAACTATAGTTAGATGAATTGTATGAAATAAGTTTTTAATAACAATAAGCTCATTCAAATTAAGTTATGATGATGATGAAGTAATGAGACACAACCGTTTATTAATCAGTGCATGTGAGAATATGGTTAGACTGACCTGTAGGGCTGGGTGAAGTTTGTGTAACAACGAAACACATTTCCTGCCACGAAGACGGGCGCCGTGAGTATTAAAGGCAAAACACTGTATGGAGAGATCAGGACAGACATTATATTCCTAAAATCTGCTAATATCATTTTCATTTATGCTAAAAAAATGAGGAACATTTTCAGTTTCAGTTTCCTGCTAAAACATTTTCAGTTTTATCGTGCATGGTTTTTGCCGTATATTTTATGCAGGATTATAATAAGTAAAAAAAAAAAGTTAATGTAAATATTGCTTGAATGTGTACTGTGCATACTGGCAACTAGCTGAAATAAAAAAAAAGTTTCAGGTTTTTTTATACTTTATTTCAGTTTTAAAAAATTGTTTACAGTTTTAGTCGCTAGCCATGTGTTAAAAAACATGTTAGCAACATGCTAATTCCTGCTAACAATATGTTAAAACAGGCTAGCAATGTGCTAAGTCATCCTAGAAACATGCTAAATCATTAGCAATGTGCTAATTCATGCTAACAAAGTGTTAAAATGTGGAATGTGCTAACTGATGGTTGAAAAATGCTAGCAATATGTTATTACATGTTAGAAATGAGTTAATTCACTGTTAAAACATGCTAACAACATAACCCCCTAGCAATCAATCTATCCATCTATCAAAACTTCTTTAAAGACCCACTCCAATGAAAATAATGTTTTTCTAGGTGTTAACATGTTCTTGTGGCATTTTTCTGATGTTAGATGACATATCTTGAGAAAAATCAGCTCAAAGTTGTATTTCTGAGTATTTCTACATTCAAATGGCTGTGAATCAGTAGCAGACGCTAAAATGCTGGCTAAAATAGACTGGAGTTGTGACGTAGTAACTCCACTGGGCGTCTCCACACGCGACGTCTTGGAGTGAAATAATGATCGGTGATCGGTGATAACTTTGATTAACTTCGGATAATAATAATGAACGTGTATATAATACTGTTGCCCCACCGGTATTGGGGGTGTAAGCTAGCGGGAGAGACAGAGCTCTCAGCAACGGGCAGGGGGAGGGGCGTCTCCGTGCCAACGGCTCCGCCCACAACGCAGAGGCGAATTGCTAATGAGCTACTGCCGCTCTGCTGAAGCGAAGTCCCAGAAAACGGCACAGGTTTTGTGATTTTGGCTAAAAATGGCATAATCATAATTTAAAGACCACTGGGAATGTTTAAAAATAGCTCAAAATATGATCGGAGTGGGACTTTAAACTTTATGGTCGGGCTTTCTCAAGCCAACATCAATGTTGTAGTTTTTGACAGATTTTTTGTATTATAGTCTTAGGTAAGTACTCACAAGTGCACGTATCGTAAAAAAAATGCAATCAAACTTGTTTTATAATTTCATTACATAAATTATGTTGCTCCATCTATATATACTATCAGTTTCAGTGATATTTTTATCCCGCTGATGTTCAGTGTACTCACCACGACAGTACTGGGGCCAGACATCTGCAATTTCTTGCTCTTGCTGGATTCTGAAATAAACAAGCTAATCAGTATATACAAATAAATGACTACATTGTGCTGCTTTAAATTTCCTTCGTTAACATGTTGATAATGATGACCTGAATACCTCGGCTGGGAGCCCATTCAGTCTCCTGTAATACTTTCTGCTCAGCCCGGCGTAAAGCACCCAAACATAGTGCAGCGTGTAAAAGAAGGAGGCCATATAAAGAGTCTGCGGGATGGGAAAGTCAAAGGCAGACGTTAATGAAGTTTAATTAGTTACACATTTTAATCTCAGAAAAGGTTGAACCATGTTGTCACAATACTGTAACCCATGTCTCTCTTTATTTAACGATACAAACTAACAAAGACTATAACTCAGTGAAGGGAGAAAACAAGGAACAGGTGGGGTTAATCAATTAACAAATGAGTAACCATGGAAACAACTAATGAACAGAGACAAATGAAACAAGAACTAACACAGGTAATCAGGTGACAACGTATACTTTTACTTATTATGGAAATTATATGCTAATTTGCAAATTGAATGCAATGTGTTCGGACACTTGACTGCATGTTAATTGCAATTAAATGAAAATATATTACAGTTTAAATATATATTAAATGCAGCTAGCTGAACTTTAGAGTTCTCTTTAATTTAAGTACATCATTATATGTAATTTCATAATTGCATCTGTTGTCTCTGAAAAATGGTTGAAGTGTACTGCTAAATGTACTTATGGTAAATTAAAATATACTTTAATGTCATTTCTATTAAAAATTATGTGTTTTCTATTTAAATATATTTATAAATACACATTTATTATTATGTAGTTGCAACTAAGTGCATTTAAAGTATCTTAACTTTAAAAGTAATATCAAACAACAAACAACAATTCAAATTATAATCCAGTACTTTACATGTGCTTTAGTATGTTTATCAAAATAAATACTTTACAGCACGACAAAACATTATTAAAACACAATGATTTAAAATGTACTTTAATGTTAAACTTTTAACTTGGCATGATTACAAAGTCCACTTAAGTGTGTTAAGAAATAGTTTACTCTCTTTAAGTACACTTAAGTGGGCTTATTAATATTATATTAGCTTTTTTCAAAACTTTGAAGTACACTGTACGTGTCATGCACATTTTTTTTACACAATGGACTCCAGGACCAGGGTTAGAAAAACACCACGTTTGTTGACATTCATGTCATTCCAAAGGCACTGAATGTCATTCCAGGATTGAGCAACTTCTTTATGTTAAAGATAGAATATCATTCATCTAAAAATGCCTAACTAGTCAACATGGGTTTCCTTTCTGTTTTGCTTTGAGCACAGTTGACTTATAGAGGATTATAGATGTTAGTTATATTTGATCAAGGTGTGTTTTACCTGATTTTAACAGTCACAAAACTATGTACACTATTGCACTCTTCCAAAATGCGTCAGCGGGTTAAAGCACATATGTCTCAATGACACCGCCATAACTTTGAGTTAAACACGTAAAGCTCATGCAAAGGTGAATGTGAAGTCAGTTTAATCTGATTTAAGTTATAATGACTTGTGCAACCAACTTGATTATACTTAAAAATTTAAGAAAGCAACTAAATGTGGATTTTATTTTTACATCGAATGCTACGATTTAGTTTTCAGTATGATTCTGTTGTTATAGATTAATAACTGTTATTCTTAAAATAAGATGAAAATTACATTCAAATATAGTTTATTTTACACTTCTAGTGGTTCCCTAAAGAAGAAGAAAACATGAACTGATTAAAGATCATTTTAATTAGTCACTATGAGCTGTTCAAATTGTAAATGATTCTTGTAAACTTATGCATGCCTGTCTGGTCTGATGTGACTCATCATCAGTGAGTGTCACATGACCTCGGGCTGGGTTTTCCAAAACTCGGGCGTTTTCAATGCGTGGAGGATTGGCAAAATGTGTCAAATGTGAAGAAAAAAACGGCATTTTCCACAAATATCAGGGGTTCAAAAAAAAGGTCTGAAACATATATTTTTCTGATAAATTCTGATTATAATTACGTGAGTAACAATGTTGACAAATGCATCCAACACTACAATATATATATATATATATATATAAACTGAGATTATTTACTTATAGGGCCCTATTTTAACGATCTGAAACGCAAGTGTCAAAGCGCAAAGCGCAAGTAACTTTGTGGGCGGATCCCGGCGCTGTTGCTATTTTCCCGGCGGGATAAATGCCTCTTGCGCCTGGCGCAAATCTAAAAGAGGTTGGTCTGAAGTAGCTTCATTATTCATAGGTGTGGTTTGGGCGTAACGTGGAATAAACCAATCAGAGCGTCATCTCACATTCCCTTTAAGAGCAGGTGCGCATGTTGCATGGCGGATTGCTATTATAACGGCGGATTCACCAGGCGCGCGTCAGGAGCGGTTCACAGCCGAGGAGACCGACGTTCTTGTCAGGACCGTGAAAGACAGAGAAGTGACGTTGTATTGCGTGTTTTGCGTGCACCTGTAAACTATGGCATAAACCCTCATGCAAACACCCTCAGACGGCACTGTTTATTGACTGTCTGAAGTAGAATGCATGCAGAAATAACAAGAAATTCAACGTTCAAATCAGACTTATCTATCTATCTATCTATCTATCTATCTATCTATCTATCTATCTATCTATCTATCTATCTATCTATCTATCTATCTATCTATCTATCTATCCATCTATCTATCTATCGTGGGTGGGTTTCTCCCATCCCCATACAAATCAGCGTCGGTTAAACAGGCGTGGGAGGAAAAAAAACTAAATTTTCATGGACACCACAATGATTTCCCTCATGTGTTAATATTTTTCCTTGTTATAATGTATGATTTGCAAAAATAAAAACTGCTGCATCTGTGTTGATGAGATAATCAAAGTGTATGCGCGTTGTGCACCCGCTACATTATGGCCAAGCATGCGCGCTTAAAATAGCATAATGAACAACGCGCAACGCGCCACTGACTTTAGACTAGGTTTTTTCTGGTCAGTGGCGCAATTGTTTTATAGAACAGCAAAATAGCATGAGGGAAAGTTTGCGCCGGAACACGCCTCCTCTTTGCGCTGAACCGCCCCGGGGAGCGCAAGTGTATTTCTTAGTTAACCGACGTGCGTCTGTGGAGGGAAAAGTCCGCTTTGCGCGGGTGCAAAATAGGAATGATACATGCGTCAGTGTACAAAGTCATTTGCGCCGAGTGCAAGATAGAGCCCATAGTGTAAAATTATGGAGCCCCTAAAAAGACATGGTGATGGAAAAAATTATGGGAGGAAAAATTATATTTCAATGCTTTTGCGTTCTCTCACAAAACCTTTGCTTTCCCCAGAGAAACTTTTTGCAAAAAAAAGCCCTGACGTATATTTTTTCTTCCCATCTCATATTTTTTCCCTTCACCGTGTGCGTATTAAATTATGCTACTTTGTGTCACAATTGTATGTCTTCAATGTTACTTTTCAAGCTAGGCTAGTTTATGATAGCATAACCAATAACAAATTTAATTTAAAAAAAGGATTTGTGCCTATAATGCCTTAAAGGTGCTCTATGTAACTTTTCTACTAAAATGAATCCTTTTTTTATTGCCTGTGTGTGAAGGGGTTGTAATCACACATTAAAATGATCCACTTGTCGAGTTTTGCTATTACCTCTGAAGGCCAGTATTCCTATTTCTATGTGAAGTCTCCGGGTCGGATTTACCGCGAAATCCAACGGATGTGACGTGCATGCGCGCTCCCGAGCCTCTCTCCTTATATACAGTCTATTGTAGACGGTCAGGGAGTTACGTCCGGTTAAAGGCGCACGTTTTTCGGCTTATATCTCAGTCAATCTTTGATCAATATTCCCAAGACTCTAATCGTACGTAGTGCTGGACGGGGCCTTTCGAACGAGCCCACCCCCGAGGTCCAACTCGCCCGGCTCCCCGAGTTATAGCCGTTCGAAATCGGGGGTCCCAGCGAACGGCGATCCGGTAGGGGGCATCCCCGATGCCCGCCACTCTAGCGTTCGGGCAAGGGTTCCTCTGGGACCTCCTCCCCCGAATTTGAGCTCTCTGGGTCTTTGCGTTCCAGAGATACGAGCGATTTTCTTCTGAGATCGTGACGTCACCGGCGTCCGCAATTTTGCAGCGCGCCCGATGGTTTTCTGCTAATATCTCCGCGAAAACACCACCAAAAACTATGGAACTTATATGGTTCTTTTCAGCTCGACTAGATGGTTCCAATGAGCTCGGTGCTCACCGAATCCATCAAGTATTCGCCGAGATATTTGCGTAATAGACGGTATTGTCTATGAGTTAAAGCACGAGCGCTCTTGTAAAATTTAGTTTGCAATCTGAAACATCACCACTAGAGGCCGCTAAAAGTTACGTAGAGCACCTTTAAAGCAGCACTAGGTAGGAATTCCGTTTTTGTCAAACAGCGACCCCTAGAGTCGCTGTGGAGTACTTGTACTGTCGTGAATAGCACTCACGCAGAGATGGCTCGCACTCACGGCCGGATCCCCTCCCCCTGTACACCGGTACCTGTTCAGTAGGATGGACGCTGTAACGAGTGGAAATAAGGTGTGGCCCCTTTAAGAGCTGCGCGCGCCCTGTTTAACTGTCGGCAGTCTGTATTGTATGTGCGCCTCGAACACCACATGTATACGGCGCCGGGTTATTTCGGTTTGATGCTCATTTTATCAGATATGTTTTTTGCCGTAAAGCAATTCGTTACCTCGCGAGACCTGATATCACATGATACTTCCTAACACTGAGGCCGGCGGCCCAAAGTTGCAAGGGTGGTTTTGTGGCTCACAGGCACCAGGGGGGTGCGAGACGACCACCATTCAACACGAAATCAGTAATATAAACATTACAATGACTCCAAAGCTGTTCGGTTAAGGTAAAAAAGTTACTTAGTTCACCTTTAAAAGTAGAGCTGCATGATACTGGATAAATTGAGAATCACGATTTTTTTGGGTTTCAAATAGAGATCACGATTCTCCCACGATTCTGAATAGACAACTAAACGAAATAACATGTAATTTAGAACAGATTCTCACAAAAAAAAAAAAAACTGGTTGAATGAATGATTCAATGACAAATTTTTTAACGGTCACTTGTCGCCACCTACTGGTGTAACGATGTAATCGATACGATCATTATTTGAAGCGTCAAGTTACTTTGAAAAGGTGATTTAGTCTATTTTGATCACTAGCACAGACATCAGTGTTTATAGCCGATCTATAAACTTTTATCCCAGTACTTCTATGATAATTTGAATTATTGTATAATGATCCTGTGTGGTTAAAAAGTGTGGTTTCACATCTAAAGATGACGACTGCTGTCTCTGGGTCAGAACGCAGATCTGAATGTTCACTGTGTCAAAGGTTTAATAGACGGAGCCGAATCGCCGTCGTTTAGGAGTAAGATCACATGGGTATTTGAATCCCGATCGCGATATTTTTTTTTTTTTTTTTTTTTTTTTTTTTTTATTGGGTTTTTAACAGTAACAATTACAATCATCTTCCCATCCCATCCCCTCCCCCCTACAGCTTAAAAAAAAAGAAAAAAAAAGAAAAAAAAGAAAAAAGAAAAAAAAAAAGGGGGTATTTCCCAGCAGTGACAGTGAAGAAATTCAGTATTCCACGTTTGCATAGTCCACAAGTTTCTTTAAACATGAAAAGCTCGGCAGCAGTTATGAAACATATAATATGAAACATAGTCAATATGAAGAATAAAAAAAAAAGGGGATATACTCCCTAGAAGAATTGGCACATCTTCATAAAATATATAAATCACACTTTATAAAGCTACTTGTCCAGATAACAAGAATACTGATACAATAATAATACAAATAGTAAGAATAATAATATAGTGGTTTCAACTGAAACTTATAAAAAAAAAAATATATATATATATATAAAAAAAAAAAAAAAAAAAAAAACAGGCATACACATTACAAAAAAATATAAAATAATAAAAAAATATATAATAATAATAATAAATAAATAAAAAAAAACTTAAAAATGATATAACAAGGGGAAATTGAGGCAGATTATTTCATCATTGAGGCAGATTATTCCATCTTAGAGGCAGGGGAGCTCTTCAAAATATCTTATAAAGGGGGACCATGTGTCTTGAAACTTACGTTTCGAACCTCGAATCATGTATTTAATCTTTTCGAGTTGAATGTGAGACATCACTTCTTTCAACCAGCTTTTATGTGTTGGAGGGTCTGCCTTTTTCCACTGAAATAATATTAAACGCCTTGCCAGTAATGTAGTGAAGGCAATAACAGAACGAATATCTTTCCTGAGTTCTATACCCTCGGGAGCAACACCAAAAATGCACATTAAGGGATCTGGGTCAATCTGGATGCCATACATATTTTTATATGATTCGAAAATCCCTCTCCAAAATTCCTCCAATCTAGGACAGAGCCAGAACATATGGGCAGTTGTCCGATCGCGATATTTTAACGATTAATCGCGCCTCTCTACGTAAAAGTCTAGGGAAACCAAACCATTTCCAAAACAACAGACTGAACTTTGCCTCCACGCATTACTGAGCGGTGACGTCCACTCACACCCATGACAATCCACTGCTATAAACAAGTGTGTGTGTGGAGTTTAAAAGTGGGGCACAACTAATTATATCTGGCCAAAGAATATGAACCAAATTTGATGCTCCACTTCCTTTTCACATTCGTCCCAGTTCCATGTTTTTTTTGTGCTTCAGAACAAACTGGATTTAATGTCTGAGCGGAGAACAACTTATTGTTGAAGTGAAACTGTCTAGCACACAGACAGAGCTTTTCTTCTATGTGATATTTTACCGAAATGAAAAACAAACAGGGTTCAATAATAAGAGACACATGTTTGGGCCTGTAAAGCATTGGCAGAGTAGAGGAATGAATCACAGATTTTAAATGGACTTTCCCTCACTGGTGTTTTAAAAGTTTTTTTTTTTTTTAGCATTTACACAATTTATTGGCTAAAGACCTTCCATTTTCGAAAAAGGGATCTTGATCTTTGTCATCTTGAGGTACCATACTAAATGATTACAATATGCACATATAAGGTTATTTTATGGTAGTCTAGAAATCTTCGAAAGATATCATGGTACTTCTATGGTACACGTCCAATAAACCATGGTATTTTTGGTAACATGCTATTGTTTCTTCTTGATGTTAAAAAACATTCCTTGAATTAAAAGTGACAGGAGAAAACAATGAAAGAATTGTTAAAGTGCCTATATTATGTTTTCTCTTTCATGCAGAGTGTAATAGAGCTGTTTGTGAATGTAAAAGGTCTGCAAAGTTTTAAAGTGCATGACAAATAAAGTTATTTTCTCTCAAAAGAAAGAAGCGATTCTGATCGGCCTGAAACGAGTCGTCAGTAACTGCATTTGCAAATCTATGCTCTTGATTGGCTGCCCGTGAACAACGTCATCTTTGCCAAAAAACAAACTTGGTTTGTGTGTCGACATGTTGAGAAGAAGCTGTTTTCTGCTGCCAAAGTAAATCCACTTTAATGCACTTCTAAAGGATGAGACTCGCGCTCGAATTGTTAAAATAAATCCGACGGCATCGTTACTGTTCGTATCGCTGTGTATCAAGTGTGTGAGGAAGATCCGGAGCTGAAATTCAGATATGCTAATACAGTCCATGTTTGGTTTCAGTGCTGTAAGCTGTCAACCAATCAGAGCAAAGTAGTAGACCATTCACAACAGACTGGCTGCCGATCTGACCAATCAGAGCAGAGCAGGCTCTCGTAAAGGAGGGGTTTAGAGAGACTGAATCCTTGATGAGCAAAGAGCTGATGCTCCAATGTATTTTATAAGACAATTTAATTGTTTTTGACCGTGGATGCGTGTAAATCTATTATAGGAGCCCTGCAAAACTAAATTAGGATTAGGAACCTTTAAAGGGATAGTTCACCCAAAAATGAAAATTCTGTCAGTAATTACTCACCCTCATGTAGTTCACGTAGTGTAACAGCGCAGCGCTTCTGTGTTGTACGTCACACGCATCACACACATGACCAGCGTCGGCCAATAGTGAGCCTCCGTGTGACGTACAACCCAGAAGCGCTGCGCTGTTACACTACGCGAAATCTCGCGGCCCACAGAGAAGGAAATGAATAGTTGAATAAAGTCGTTATTTTTGTTGTTGTTTTGCGCACAAAAAGTATTCTCGTCGCTTGATAAACTTAAGATTGAGCCACTGTAGTCACTCTGACTATTTTAACGATGTCTTTAATAACTTTTCTGGGCCGGCAAGTTTCAATCCCCTTGAAGCCTGTGGAGGAGTGATCCAGCTCTCAGATTTAATCAAAAATATCTTAATTTGTGTTCTGAAGATGAACGAAAGTCTTATGGGGTTGGAACAACATGAGGGCGAGTAATTACTGACAGAATTTTTATTTTGGGGTGAACTAACCCTTTAAAACTGCATAACAGGAGCACTTTAAACGTTTGAAAAAGATGCGCATCTTAGTAATATGATTGTTCTTTTGATTCCAGATGCAGTTAATCAAATATGATTGCTCCAATGTGGCTTTTTTTGTGGAAGTGGAAGTGTGATGCAAAAACACTGCATGTAAAAAAAGATATATAGAGGAAGTACTGTTCTTTCGCCTATGATAAGCATAATTTTGGCATGATATTGCGTCCGTTTCTTTTGTACCTGTTCCACTATGTGGAGGTTGTAGCAGACGTCGTAAGAGTCACAGTTCTGGGTGAAGAGAAGACCACCAACCATCCAACTCAAAGCTAACAGCAGGTCTGTTAAACTCAACAAGAATAAGGGGAGCACCTGGAACACAGGTTTGTTTCTGTGGTCAATGCATGAACATATTGTTAATAATTCAATTAAGTGCTAGTATGGAGACTTACCTCTGGTTTTTTTACTAGTCTGGTATAAATGGCATATCCAATTATGGAGCCAGCACCTACAATGCTGTGATGCAAATTATTAACACATATAAATAAGTATACAAGACATAAGACACGTGTACATTTATTAAAGGACTGCGATAAAATAATAGATAGCCTAACGTTACCTTAGGACGGCCATTGTCATTTGAATACATCGAACTATAGAGTATACCTTTGAAAAGAAAAGAAAAACAAAGGAAGAATAGTGTATTTAATCGGGGTGTGTGTTTATTTTAAGCATGCAGAGTATCAAATGCAAGATACGTATTTTTATGAGTTTATGACCATGCATGACCTAGAAATGAAGTGTTTGGATAGCCTACGTTACGGAAGTCAGAGATTCATTTACTTGCTAAACAAGAAATAGCATAGTGTTTAAAATGATTATTAGCTACTTTTCAAATTCCTTAAACTATTAGTCATTTACAAAGATAATTGATAGAAAAAAATCTAGTGAAAAGGACACGAGAACCATGCGCGCCCGAAGCATAATTTAACTATGTTGTAAAAACTACTTACAGATGTCCAGTTTTCAGTCGGAATGGTGGTGTTCATCGGTGACTTATCTTGGCCAAAAAAGTCCATATTGCAATAATAAATAGTCTATTTAGTGATAAATGAATTCCACCTTAGAGCCCTCACTCGAAAATCCTTCCGTATGTAACAACAGCAAAAAGCAGTTCTAATGTATATCTGCTACCAGACCATGCCAAAATAATAATCATTTAAACAGACACAGAAGTTAGAAAATGTGCTTTTTCTCAAACTCGAGTACTGTAAATAAAAACAGCGCGCCCCGCCCACTGTATCACAAAGCGATTTCGATTGGTTACGATCCGCTTGCGTCACACATTCGTCATGTTTTAATGTACATTAGGCGCTCAAAGCGCCAGCGTGCTTCACTAGGCATGGCGAGAGACTGGCGCATTGTCTGGTTTGACTCGCTCAATCGTCTGTGTTTACAAGGACGTCCTGTTTTTTGGCCAAAATTGTTTGCCTGTTGTCCCATACGTGAAAATGCCGTGCAAACTGACATCTTGTTGACAATCAGCGGATCTTGCATGAACATAATCAGGCAACAAAACTGAAAATCTCAGTATTAGTAACTAACGCGTTATTATATAGCTATATTAATATAAAGATTACTCCTATTAGTTGACTTACCTTTTTTGGTATTTATTAGGCTGTACAAAACTTGTTTGCAATTAGGCCTTATTCTCAAAGGCACAGCAGTTTAGGAATATGTGAAATATGTACAAGATCTACATTGATCAGTGTCTAAACTGAATCCAGGTTGCTTGTGCATCTATTTTCCGTGACATGCACATTTACATTCACATAATTGCTTAGCATTTTACCTGTCCAAACGTCAAACATGTTAACTTTGTGTTTTGTCCGGTTAGTTAGATCTGTAGTTAGATTTCATGTCATTCTCTCACCTGTCAGTTTGCATGAGCATCAGAGGTCTACATCCCTTCATTAATGACAGTATGCGTGAGAACAATGGACACAAGCACTGCCTATGAAGGCTGTCTGAGAGAGTTTCTGTCATTTCTGCACTTCACATGGAGCTAGTCTAATGTTTAACAGATCCAGTGCACACACATGATGCAGATTGTGCATCACATTTTGCCCTCTTTCTTCTACTTTCGTCCTATCCATTAACACACGCAAACAAACCTGCTCATTTCATTTGAGCACTTAGCTTGGATCATTCATGCAAACAAATGTATAGAAAATAATATAAACAGTAAACTGGGGGAAATGGTATGGTTATAGTTGTATGACAAGGTGCACATGGTTCTCTCTGCCACAATAGTTGGCTTTCAGACTTTGATTTTCAATTTCATGTGCATGCATGCTGTTCAGAAGTCTGGAGGCAGTACATTTTATTCAGCAAGGATGCATTAAATTGAATAAAAGTTACTATTTCTATTTCAAATAAATGCTGTTCTTCTGAACTTTCTATTCATCAAAGAATCTTTAAAAAAAAGCATTTCCACAAAAATTATGAAACAACAGAACAACTGTTTTCAACATTGATAATAATCAGAAATGTTTCTTAAGCAGCAAATCATCATATTAGAGTGATTTCTGAAGGATCATGTGACACTGAAGACTGGAGTAATGATGCTGAAAATTCAGCTTTATCACAGGAATAAATTACACTTTACAACTGCAATTCCAAAAAAGTAGAGAAATTTTGTAAAATGCAATAAAATCAAGAATCTCTTAAAGAGACAAAAGTAGGCCTACAAAGATTTTTTTTAAAATGTTTTTACTGGCCAAATTAATTGTATTTTGTAAATATATATAAAAAATATGTAGGCTATTTGTTATTATTTGAATAGCTACAACACAGTCCAAAAATTCTATTACGAAATTCAAACAAAAAAATATCGTTTTGGCGCTTGTAGCTAAATGTGACGTGACCAACACGATCTCATGAAAGTGCTTATCTGACTATATAGCACGATTTTAATTTCTCGTACCATTTATACGCCAAAAATAGTTTTTGCGTGCAAATGATATACGCACTGACAAACCCCTTGGGTAGGATTAGGGGTGTGGAGTTCGTGTGTATTACACGCCATAAAGTGCGTATCATATGCACGCAAAAACTATTTTTGGCGTATAAATGGTACGAGAAATTAAATTCGTGCTATAGCCTACGCACATTCGCGCCTCAGTTCAATCGGCACGTGAACCGATCATCTCTAGCTAATAGTAAATAATCACGAATTGAACAATGTTGAAAGATACAGTAATTTACCGAAATGTATATTCCTCATACATAATATCGATCAATCAGTGTTTTTCAACCGCGGAAAGAGGTCAATAAAATAGCTGAAGAACAATTATGTCACATAACATTTACCTCAGGAAAGCCATTTAATGACCAATAGCTATATAGCACGTTAGTTGGCTAGAAAAAAGAGTGTTTTGCTAAATGTGTAGCCTATATTATTATATTTTTTACTTATATAATTTAACAAAGTTGTTAATAAAAAATGCATTTAATATATAAATATAATGCCTATATTTATATATTAAATATAGGCTATATATACACGCTCTCTGTATGTTTACAGCATTAGGTGATGTTTTTTTTTCGTGAGAAAAATCTTGTGCAGCCTACCTAATATTTATCCAAATGTGTCAATATTGAATCAAATCACAAGAATTGAATTGAAATCGTGAAATTTGTGTCAAGCAATAATTAAAAAAAAACCGTAGCTTACCTAAAATTGTAGCCTAGGCTACAAACATTATAACATGTTTTCACTAAACCTAAAAATCTGTTTAGTTACTAAAACATTTTGACAATCACAATACACTTATTGTGATGCAAGATTATTATTATTTTTTTTTACTTTGGAAAACACTGAACATGCATGGAGAAATGCTTCTCGAATCTCTGTAACTCAAGGAGAAACTACATCAGTTCAGTGCAGAGATGCTGGAGAGTTCTCTGAGCCCGAGCTCATCTCAGACGACCCACTGTGGAAATGTTGGTCTGATGAGGCCATGTTTCAGACAGCTTTTGGGGAAATGGACATCGAGGTCTCAGTCCCAAAGACGAAAGGGATCATCCAGACGTTCATCAGCGACCGGGAAGCAAACATCTGTCATGTCTGGAGGAGCATCAGTGGGAACGGGAGTGTGTGTGAAGGTAACATTGATGTGGAGGAGAATATCGGGATTGGGAGACATAAACTGACATCAAGATGACATCTTTCCTGGGAAGCAAGACAATGCCAGACCTCATTCTATATGTGCTACTACAACACCTGCAATCCAGATCATTGAAAATGTACGACCCATCATGAAAACTATTACTTTTTAAGCCAACTCATAATTCCCAGTTTTATGTAATACTTATGACTAGCATGCCATAATTTCAATTTCAATTTCTTTTTATGTCATAATTATGATTTACCATGAGTTTTTTTATCTTATGTGTTGGAAATGGGCTTGCAATAGTTCGTACTTTTTACATTTTTTACAGCCTCCTCTGTATGGATAGAAAATGGTTATATTACAAGACACAAATCCAGATAGGCTTCTCAGAGGTTACTCAACTTGTTTTATTATGACAGGTTTCAAAAATAATGAATGAAATAATGATAGAAATAATGTCTCTTCTGTATTAGAACAATAAATATATAAATAATAAATAACTGAAAGAAATACCTCCAAATTGAACCTCTCACAAACTTACAAAAACGAACTAACAAAATATATTTATATCTTTAGTTTTCTTCCTCTTTATCCTGTTTTTCTTCCTCATCCTCCTTGTTTGCCCATCTATATTTTGCTGTAGTGCTGATCTTTCCCAGCAGTTTTTTGAAAACCAGGACATTTTCATCACTTTATAAAAGACGGCCAGGACATGTCATGGGAAAACAGGACTGTTGGTCACCCTATTCCCTTCCAGACTACTGAACCAAATATGGATCAACAGGGTTCATACAGAAAACATGTTAGTGTTTGGAATATCAGACATTTGCATGTCTTCTTTGAAAAAAATAATAATAATAATAAGGTTAGAGATCACAGACATCTGCTTTATTTGGCCTCGAGCAGTGGGGCATTATTGTGAAGTTTCGAATCCAAAACAGATGTCACTGGCATGATATAGCAATATAAAAACCCCTTTTCTCTCTTCCCTTTTCAGTTTCCACTGAAATAAATGTGCTGGACTCACTTATACACTTACACAGTGTTACATAGGCCTATATATATATATAAAAGAAGTTAATTGGATGTTCTGAAAAACAGTTGTGCTCACTATTTAAAGATTTGCAATGAAACATTAAATGCACAGACTTTCTATTTTTATTTTGAGATCAATTCTTCACTAAATTAAAAGCCTGTTTCGGCCACATTCGAAAAAATAATAATAATATTTGGGTCAATCGTAATTATGAGATAAAAAGTCATTATGAGATAAAAGTCTTTTATGTCATCATTTAGATTTTGCAATCTCATAATTTCGTTTTTTTCTTCTTGTGTGTCAGAAATAGACCTCCATATAAACATAAAATTTGTTAATAATTTATTATCTGCTAGCACTCCAAAACAATGCCAACCAGTTTCATAACTTTCTCAGAATAACTTTCAGTTCTGTGTGTTTTTTTTGGTCCAGGAAACCAGACAATAGAAAAGTACTGTGAAGACTGGACATTCATAATTCAGGAAGATGGAAAGCCCCGCACAGCCTCATGGGCCGCACCAGGAATATTTGTACAATGCCCAGGTCACCTGATCATAAAAACCTTTTAAAAAAAACAAACAAACAAGGAAGTAATCTTCATGCCACGGTCGGTCACATTACCACATATCAAATATTCACCATGTGTGTGTGAATTTTCACTCTGTCAATCAATGTCTCTGTAAAAATGCTGGTGGAAATACACACATGCCAATGCCAAAAAAACTAGCTGGTTATATAGTTGTAGATCTGCATTGCAAAGGACTATTTTAAGATTTCAAAACTTAAAAATACATAAATGTTTCAAACTGAGGCACCACACAAGCAGATATGTAGTAAAAGTGAATGTCTCGCTATAACAAAAATCAAATGTATAACGTTAATAACCCATGCTCTTTTTTTTTTTTTTACAAATAATATTTATTTGTCTTGTCTGAGTAAAACCAAGGTAATGTTTGATGTACAATATTGTTCAAATAAAAGTTTAGGTTTTTTTATGCTTGTTGAAAGTCATTTTATGATTTTATGACAACCGCCCCTTAATAACGAGTCATTTCAGACCGAGGGTCAGAATAGGGGGGCAAAAAACTTTATTAACATTACAAGTGAACCTCAAGGAAACTATATATATATAAACTATATCTGGTGTCTGAATAATTTTTGGTTATTAAAAAATATTTATGTTATTGGTAATATATATAGTCAAACCAAAAATTATTCAGACACCAGATATTTATTTATTTATTTTTTACTAGCTGGTGCAGGACACTTTAGTTCATTTATGTAAGTGAGGAGAGCAAAATAAAGTAAAAATTAATTTGTGAGAGTCTAACAGAAGGAGGCCAAAACCAGTGAAATATCAACTGATTTGATAACTCTGAGTTCTGCTCATATTTTATTACCATTTTTTAAACTACAGCGAATAAACTGTGATAATGTGAGAAATGTTGAAGGTGTCTGAATAAATTTAGGTTTGACTGTACATATATATATATTTAAATCTATCCCTTTAAAGTTACACACACATTACTGACTTTATTGTGAGGAAGGAATCTAATATTTTCATAATTTTCTCTCTCGATGTGCACTGGCCAGATTTTTTATTGTTTATTTTTTCATGGGAGGATTTTGCCCTTTAGGCCTTGCAAGAGAACTTTATTGTTGACGGATATTGTTGGTACAAAAATATTCTTGGTAAACCACAACAATCTTACATTAAATCCACATTGCAATGTCTGAATGCCATTGCACTGGCCAACAAATAAACTGAACCAGATGGCAGATCTGCAAGCAAGTGATGCTGGAGCTTTCTCCGAAACTGAACTTTTTCTGAGCCATATTACAACATGACATCATGACTTTGCGTAAACATACACGCCACTTTCAATTCAAGTGGCGTGTTATCTATACGCATTTTGAGCTATCCGCGTGTATGTCCACGCCGAGATCAGTCTGCATATTATAACAATCTAGTCCCAAGATGATTTTTAGTGGATGTCTGAAGTCAGTGCACACAGATGTGTAACTTACAGGTCTGTTTGGCTTGAGAAGTGTGCTATTTCTCCTTAATGTCGTCATGAAACAGAAGTTGCACTAGTCTTTTCTTCCCTTTTGCGACGTATAGTGAAACGGCTTCTCGAACAAGGAAATATAGGGGAATGAGTCTGTGGGGAATTGATTGGATGGTTGTGGTTTGCTATTGGTCGATCCCATGTGAGTGACAGGTTGCCCCGCCCACATCATCAGAGAAGAGATGTTGCTGCAAGAGGGAGGGGTTATTTTAAGTTAAAGGAACACTCCGACTTTTTGGGACTTTAACCTATTCACCTTATCCCCCAGAGTTAGATAAGTCCATACATACCTTTTTCATCTCCGTGCGTGCTATAAGTCTGTTTGACGCACCCACCGCTAGCCTAGCTTAGCACAAAGACTGGATGTAAATGGTTGCAGCTAGCATACTAATCCAAATAAGTGACAAAATAACGCAAATATTTTCCTATTTACATGTTGTGATTTGTAGTCACAGAGTGTACAAAAAACAAAGTCACATGAGACACAGACATATTTTAACCGTATAAATACTGGGAAAGTGGGAATTATATTCTCTGAAGGCGAAGCACTGCTACTTGGGCGGAGTGATAACCGCAGCACCTGAGACGCGCTCTCTGCTCCTCACCACGGCGCGTCTCAGGTGCTGCGGTTATCACTCCGCCCAAGTAGCAGTGCTTCGCCTTCAGAGAATATAGTTCCCAGTATTTATACGGTTAAAATATGTCTGTGTCTCATGTGACTTTGTTTTTTGTACACTCTGTGACTATACAAATCACAACATGTAAATAGGAAAATATTTGCGTTATTTTGTCACTTATTTGGATTAGTATGCTAGCTGCAACCATTTACATCCAGTCTTTGTGCTAAGCTAGGCTAGCGGTGGGTGCGTCAAACAGACTTATAGATGGACTTATCTAACTCTGGGGGATAAGGTGAATAGGCTAAAGTCCCAAAAAGTCGGAGTGTTCCTTTAAGTTATTTTGATTCAAGATTATGAGGCGCATGAATCAAAATAATAATGATGTGCACGATAAATCTTTTTTTTTTTTTTTACTGCAATATACCATTAAAAATAAGACTTGTCAATTTGATTTCATGGTGACTTTGAAGTCTCCCTGTGGTGAAAATCCAGCTTTTAATGTTGTTTGTGTCTATGTGGTGTTTTTAATATGCTTTAAGACAAACCATGTGTAAATTCATAAGTCGACAGCATTGCTGAGTATTTTCTCCTTAAAACTGCAGTGAACCAAAGACAGTCTCAAAAACACGGTTTGAAATCGCTGGTGCTTCTGACGTCACAAACGACCTTGTAACCAATCAGATCAACGTGTGATCGTCAACCAGTGGATCTCTGAGCTGAGTGAGTGAGTGGAGGCGGGGCTCATTTGCATATTCATAGAACCACGTATACTAAAAGAGGCAAGTTTTAAGGGATAAAAATTCACTACAGGGGGACTTTAAAATGAATGCTACAAGGTTTTGTTTTCTCTAACGCAATGACTCATTTTTAAGTGTGGTTTAAGCATACTAATATTTTATTGGGTCACTGCATTTCAATCAACATGCCAAACTAAGAATTCTTCTGCCATCTTCTGTCTTTTTATTGCATAACATCACAAATACTTAATTATGAAGAACACCACAACTTATAAAATCAAACATATCGTTGATACGCCCCCCAAAAAATGTTCAAAATCATTCAAATGTGAATGAAATAAGAAACATTTCCTTTCCTAAAGTGGAATCAATCCCCTTGTTTCTCTCTCATATAAATCTGGGATGTCTCCAACAGGAGAGTTGATCATTCGGACTGTGTTTTCTCCATGTATTTTGCGCTCGTACTCGATGAGCTGCCTCCAGAAGCCGGGGTTCGGTCTGATGATGGGTCTCTGAGCTTTGAGCCGTGTGTGAGCCTCTGCTAGTGTGTGATGACAGTGTTTCATCAGGAACGCCAGACACAGAGCCGCGGATCGACTGACGCCTGCGTTACAGTGAACCAGGACTCGTCCATGTTCTTCACAAACCTGCTGTATCTTATCAGCAACTGCGTCAAAATGCTCAGTGAGTCTGGATTCGGGATCATCGGAGACGGACACGTGCATATAATCGATCGTGGGAATGTTTGCGTTTCTTATGTCCTGAGTTGCATTGATAACACATGTGATGTTGAGAGAGCGTATGACTGAAGAGTCGTTCGCCGTTTTGCCGTTGCCGATGTATAAACAGTCCGTGATCTGGGCAAACCCTCCGAGTCCTCCTGACATGGTGTGAACACTAGTAGGAACAAATGTGCAAGATTAATAGTGCAAACGTCATAACTAAACAAGGATACTTTGTTATGATAAACTTTTATGTGTTGGCTTGCCTGAAAGCTTGACAGACAGACAGATAAATAGATAGATGATATAGATAGTAGATAGATAGATAGACCGATAGATGGATAGACAGACAGATAGATAGAAAGACAAACGGGTAGATAGATAGAAAGACAGACAGACAGGTAGATAGATAGACAGACAGATAGATAGATACAGAGATACAGACAGACAGATATATAGATAGATAGATAGATAGATAGATAGATAGACAGAGACAGACAGATAGATAGACAGATACAGACAACTATATAGGTAGACAGATGGATGAGATAGATAGACAGATACAGACAGACAGATAGATAGACAGACATATATAGATAGACAGATGGATAGATAGACAGACATATATAGATAGACAGATGGATAGATAGACAGACAGACGGACGGATGGACGGATGAATGGATAGACAGACATAAAGACAGATAGACAGACAGACAGATATATAGATAGATAGATAGAAAGACAGACGGGTAGATAGATAGAAAGACAGACAGACAGGTAGATAGATAGACAGACAGATAGATAGATACAGAGATACAGACAGACAGATATATAGATAGATAGACAGAGACAGACAGATAGATAGATAGACAGATACAGACAGACAGACAACTATATAGGTAGACAGATGGATGAGATAGATAGACAGATACAGACAGACAGATAGATAGACAGACATATATAGATAGACAGATGGATAGATAGACAGACATATATAGATAGACAGATGGATAGATAGACAGACGGACGGATGAATGGATAGACAGACATAAAGACAGATAGATAGACAGACAGATATATAGATAGATAGATAGATAGATAGATAGATAGATAGATAGATAGATAGATAGACAGACAGACAGACAGATGGATAGATAGACAGACGGACGGATGAATGGATAGACAGACATAAAGATAGATAGATAGATAGATAGATAGATAGATAGATAGATAGATAGATAGATAGATAGACAGACAGACAGATGGATAGACAGACGGACGGATGAATGGATAGACAGACATAAAGACAGATAGACAGACAGATATATAGATAGATAGATAGATAGATAGATAGATAGATAGATAGATAGACAGACAGACAGATGGATAGATAGATAGATAGATAGATAGATAGATAGATAGACAGACAGACAGACAGATGGATAGATAGACAGACGGACGGATGAATGGATAGACAGACATAAAGATAGATAGATAGATAGATAGATAGATAGATAGATAGATAGATAGATAGATAGATAGATAGACAGACAGACAGATGGATAGACAGACGGACGGATGCATGGATAGACAGACATAAAGATAGATAGATAAGATAATCTTGAAAACTCTAAAACACGTTCACATCAAACACAAAGGCTCATTCACGTTAGCCCAATTTTCATCAAGAGAATTAAGCGGTGTATTTTTGTGTGACTGAAGCCCTATTGGACACTGACACACACTGATGTGCTGTTCTTTCTGAATGCTTTCATACACGGTACATTTATGTGGAGTTTTTAATAATGTACGTGTAGTTATCAATAGTTTACGCTGCATTTTAAAATAGTTCTGTTTGATTGCTTTAAGTAGGCTATAACAACTACAAAAAGGGTGTTAAAATATAAACGAGATTACTCACCTGCGCGCGACTGCTGTCATCAAGAGCTCTTCTTCTACTCACTGTCACTGCGGCTCGAGGACACTGTGCGCTCACAGCGACACCTACCGTCGGACTCAACAGCAAAACAAAACCTATCGGACGAAAATAAATCTGTCTATTTATTTACCTGTCTATAAGATTAACAAGCAACTCGAATACACTAGCAATGTACCAAAACAAAATACCATTGTAACTATTTATCTCTATTTATGGTGATTCGCATTAAAAACCACAGGGCTTGGCTTGTACAAGGGTTTGTTGATGCTTTCAGATCAATCCATGATGAAACGCACTCAGTTGCTGTCGTCACCACGGCATTTAACGTTTTATATAAGCATATATATTTGATTTCTATTCATTGAGATCTGTGTGATTTGGTGTTCCTCCCACATTTACATTAACATGATTCAATTTCAGGTTTGTCCCAGATTTAATAAATGAATTATTACAACAAACAACAACATCAACAACAAAAGTCTTATTGCACTCACTACAAACATGACATCCATTTCAGTGGTGTTGGTCAAAGAGATTCACTGTAAGAAACAAATATCTGTAGAAAATGGAAAAGGTACAGGTAATGTTCTTCAACGACATTATTCCTTTAATTTACGGACATTTCCTTCCAACACAGCAAAATACCTCGAAATATTGGTAAAATACCTGTCAAAAAATCTATGTGGAAAATTCCTCCCATCATGGGATCATTTTTTGTGGATTTAGTTTTAATTCATTCATTTTAATTTTTAAGGATTAAGCAGTTTATAAACACTTTCACTAGAAATATAGAATTCAGAAAACCTTGTTATTAGTGACACCTGTGGCCGTTAAGTGAATTGCAGCCAGAAACAAAACAAAAAGAAAATCTTGCTTTTTATATCATGAACTAACTTACTTGTGTAATAATTATTTCAAAGATATGATATGATCACCCAAATGTTACCAAAAAAGGCTTTGTTCAAGATATGTTTGTGGATATTTCTGTTTATCTGATGAAAGAGTACCCTTTTAAAAAGTGTTCTTATATTGAATATTCACTTGTAGTGTACTTTAAATCTTAAAAGTTTACTTTTTAAAAACTATACTTGCAGATAATATAATAAAAGAGAAATGAAATAAGAGTACACTTTCATGACTGTTTCTTCACAAACTTACAAAAGTACAATTTGTCAATGTGAAATATTTTAATAATTTTTTGTCATGCTTTAATGTACACTTATTTTGATGTGTTGACTAACATAAAGTACATGTAAAGGACTTGATTATTGTACTTGATATTACATTTCAAGTTAATATATTTTAAATGTACTACTAAATTGCAACTTTATCATAACGTGTAATTACAAATAGTTAAACACATGACATACAAGTTTCAATATAATAACACTGAAGTATATTTTAGCTAACCATACTGTAATTGTTTTTGATAGTACATTCAGCAGTACACTTCTAACAAAAGTTATGAAATTACATAATAAAGTAAAAAAAACTTCTAATTTCAACTATTTGCATTTAATATCAATTTTATAGCCCCCCTGTCAATATTTTTATCCCTTAAAACTCATCTTTGATCACCAAAATTATATATTTAAGAGTTTTTTCCTTGAAAAAAATGTCTTCATGCCTTAAAATAGCTTGAATGTAACTCGACACCCTTGCCTCATTTAGTATACGAGGTTCTATGAATATGCAAATGAGCCCCGCCTCCACTCACTCAGCTCAGCGATCCACTCGTTGACGATCACACGTTGATGTGAATGGTTACAAGGTACTTTGTGATGTCAACTAATACATTTTTATTTAATTGCAATTAACATGCATTGTAAAGCATTACATTTAGTTCACACCCATGTATATTCTTTTAAAGGTGACCTATAATTCAAAATTGAATTTACCTTGGTATAGTCAAATAACAAGAGTTCAGTGCATGGACATGACATAGAGTGAATCTCAAACTGGACTGTTTTCGCGTTCTCATTTAATTCACGTTTATGAAAAACACCCCTGAAAAACGGTCGGTTCTCCACACAATACCGACTGTGACGCAATAGTCGGGATCATTAATATGTACGCCTCCAAATATTTGCATATGCCAGCCCTCAATGCCAGGCGGAACTGCGCAGCCGAAGCATGGCAGTTGCTCAGTGTGGATGTACACATGAACACAAAAGTATTTTTTAGTTCCTTCATCTGAGCCTCTGAAGAAACAATGGGTTAATTTTATTTTCTCTGGAAATTTCCAAACATTTCACCGACTGTTTCCTCAACTTGGGCCAATACAGAGCTGGCCTCGGATCGAGCTACCAAGCAACACTTTCTGATGTGTAATTGTTCGAGTTCAGACAGGTAATCTTTCTCTCAAAATCGTTCAATACTGTTTATGCATCAGTAAGTCAGGCCAGTGACTAAAATATCAGCTTCACATCGTTTCTTTTAGTAGGATGAAAATAATCGTATTTAAATTGTGAACAAATTATATACAGAAAGCGATCAAAGAACAATCTTTCCACACAGCGCGAGTTTATCTGGACACTTGCCAAACTCGTTATGAAATCAATGACGCACGTTACTGCACAACGAAGCTCTTACTGTATTTACATCATCGTGTTTGCATTGGTGAAAGCCTTAGAGAGAGTGCAGAAACTGCTTTGCAATGATAAGATCTTCATTCTCGCGATCAACACACTGTCATCTGCTCAATGCTCATCACGGCAATATTTTATGTGATGGGAATAGATCTAAATACTTTAAAAACATCTCACGATTCGTTAATCTCGATAGCTGTTATAGTAAAAACGTATAATAGCAGTAGTAAAAGTATTCGGGAGAGAGTTTCACATGTAATGCGTAGCTATTTAATATGCAAGCATGTAAGCCAATCACAGCAGTGGCCGCGGTTACACTGAATCCCACAGCAGACACGCCCCTTCAAACAGAGTGTTCAAATCAGAGGCTAAAAGCAGGCTAGGAAAAATGCCATTTATTTCTAAATTATGGTTATTCTTTATCTAAAAAACATACTAACATTATAAGGGCAACCCAGGAAACATTATAAAATTTTTTTTTTAAAAAACATTCTAGGGCACCTTTAACGTGTATTATTTCTGTAATAAGTACTTTTAAGTGTTAAAGTGTATTTCTTTTTCACAAGTGTATCCATTCAGTCCAATATAGTGTATTCAGAAAGAATTGTTTCAATTTGATTTTTTGTTTGTTCCAGTTGAATCAAAAATGATGTGCTTCTTTACCTTTTACCGTTCAGTCCCATAACACTGGTCGGAGGGGGTCTTCATGAAAGGGTTAATGGCCGACGACGAGGTGTCCATTGTCAGGTATTAATGAACGACGGCGAGGCGAAGTCCATTAATACCTAGACAATGGACACCTCGTCGGGCATTAACCCGCTTATACCATGATCACTTGCCAAATAACACTTTTAAAACATTAGTTCATATTTTAATTAGTTTTACAACCGAAATCTAAAGTTTTTACAAACAATAACTTGGTTTCCCTGGTTACGCCTGACGGTTTATTTAGCAACCGGAGATATTTATAGTCGGCTCAGCTCGGAGAACCCTTCAGTTTAGCTAACTTACGAGCCAGAAAGTTAACGTATTTTTTTTTTCATGTAAGTTAGGCTTGTCTAGCCATGGGCGTTACACTTTCGTTTTTTTTAACCTATAATTTAAACACACAGGTAGGCATAGTATAACGGCTAACTAGATGTTTGTTTTGATACAATAATTGTAAACGGATACTTTGACTTACTCACTATGGTTACTCACACCTGATGTAGCCAGCGCATTTATTTATTAATTTCAAACGGTAAACAGTCAGTTTCACCAGAACTCCTTTACTAGGAGTCCTCTTTCACTTTTTAATGGACACCCTACAGCCAATCAGAATCGAGTATTCACCCAGACCATGGTATAAAAAGTGTTATTGATTTTGTCTATATTAGGTATAATTATGCATAACTTGTCCAAAGCATCCTTTGAGGTCGGGATGAAAGAAAGTTCATCTCCCTGTTATAGGTTACAGGCTCGGTTGTTCTTGCGCTCCTTTTGAAGATCAGAGGAAACACACTTCTGAAGGCCTTCCTAAAGTTGGCTCCCATGAAGGCGTAGATCACGGGGTTTATGGAGGAATTGGAATAGGACATGCAATGAGCCCAGATCTTGAGTTTGTAGAGTGTATAACTGTGACTGACATCTTCAGAACAGAATGCTTGTAAGAGAATCAGGATCTGAATTGGACCCCAGCAGAATATAAACAGCAGAACCATCACAACCACCATTCTGGAGACTCTGGTTCGCACGGCTTCCACTCGCTCTGCTGGAGTCTGCAGCTGGAAAACAAACACCATCAGACACATCAGGGTTCATTATGGGTCATATACAGTCAAAACTAAATTTATTCAGACACCTTCAACATTTATCACATTATCACAGTTTATTAAATGGCTTGGTTGAACTCTAATGTAGAATGCGGTCTATTATTTCTTGATAACCGACCGACCGCTGCTAAGTATAACACACCGTTACCATGAAAAACAGAGCGTTGCCATGGACGCAGTTCAGAGACGGAACGGACTATTTTCTTTAGCGGAAGCAATACAATTGTTTTTAAATCAATAAACTCCTTTTAAAATCAATATTTTGTGTCAAAATATTGATTTATTTGGTAGGTAGCCATGTAATAAGCGGGATAACGTATAGCGAGGCGGTTGTTATAGCGAATACAACCTCCGCTACGTGTCGGGGTCATAATATATGTGGATATGTGTATTAAAATTGTAATGTGTGTGTGTGTGTGTGTGTGTACAGGTACACATGTCATGTGTATATGTTTGTGTATAGTTATTATTTATAATGTATATGTGTTTGTATATATATATATATATATATATACATATACACTCACCTAAAGGATTATTAGGAACACCATACTAATACTGTGTTTGACCCCCTTTCGCCTTCAGAACTGCCTTAATTCTACGTGGCATTGATTCAACAAGGTGCTGAAAGCATTCTTTAGAAATGTTGGCCCATATTGATAGGATAGCATCTTGCAGTTGATGGAGATTTGTGGGATGCACATCCAGGGCACGAAGCTCCCGTTCCACCACATCCCAAAGATGCTCTATTGGGTTGAGATCTGGTGACTGTGGGGGCCATTTTAGTACAGTGAACTCATTGTTCAAGAAACCAATTTGAAAGGATTCGAGCTTTGTGACATGGTGCATTATCCTGCTGGAAGTAGCCATCAGAGGATGGGTACATGGTGGCCACAAAGGGATGGACATGGTCAGAAACAATGCTCAGGTAGGCCGTGGCATTTAAACGATGCCCAATTGGCACTAAGGGGCCTAAAGTGTGCCAAGAAAACATCCCTCACACCATTACACCACCACCACCAGCCTGCACAGTGGTAACAAGGCATGATGGTTCCATGTTCTCATTCTGTTTATGCCAAATTCTGACTCTACCATCTGAATGTCTCAACAGAAATCGAGACTCATCAGACCAGGCAACATTTTTCCAGTCTTCAACTGTCCAATTTTGGTGAGCTCTTGCAAATTGTAGCCTCTTTTTCCTATTTGTAGTGGAGATGAGTGGTACCCGGTGGGGTCTTCTGCTGTTGTAGCCCGTCCGCCTCAAGGTTGTGCGTGTTGTGGCTTCACAAATGCTTTGCTGCATACCTCGGTTGTAACGAGTGGTTATTTCAGTCAAAGTTGCTCTTCTATCAGCTTGAATCAGTCGGCCCATTCTCCTCTGACCTCTAGCATCAACAAAGCATTTTCGCCCACAGGACTGCCGCATACTGGATGTTTTTCCCTTTTCACACCATTCTTTGTAAACCCTAGAAACTGTTGTGCGTGAAAATCCCAGTAACTGAGCAGATTGTGAAATACTCAGACCGGCCCGTCTGGCACCAACAACCATGCCACGCTCAAAATTGCTTAAATCACCTTTCTTTCCCATTCTGACATTCAGTTTGGAGTTCAGGAGATTGTCTTGACCAGGACCACACCCCTAAATGCATTGAAGCAACTGCCATGTGATTGGTTGATTAGATAATTGCATTAATGAGAAATTGAACAGGTGTTCCTAATAATCCTTTAGGTGAGTGTATATATGTGTGTGTGTGTGTGTGTGTGTGTGTGTGTGTATATGTGTATATCTTCATATCTATGTATATGGGAGATAAACTGTGCTATGTTTTTTTTTGTTGTGTGTGTGTGTGTGTGTTAATATGTATATATTATTTTATTTTATTTTGCTCGAAATAAACTTCAATCAATGATCAGTCAGTCGGGGTTGTATTCGCTATAACAACCGCCTCGCTATACATTATCCCTTACTTATTCGCTATAGTTTAGAAAATGGTAATAAAACATGACAAGAACTCGGTTATGAACTCAGTTGATATTTCACTGGTTTTGTCCGTCCTTCTTTTAGACTGTCTCACAAATGAATTATGTTGAATATCTGTCAGCTGTTAAATTTAACTATACAATTAGATAATGCTAATTTAGGTCAACAAATTACCAAGCAATTCTTAATTTTGTTCAGTCTGTGGTGTAAAAAGGTGCATTAGCAATTAAAGAAAAAACACTTCAGCCAAACATGATCAGGTCAAAGTGTCGGAATCATTTTTGGTCCCAAATTTTTATACATTTGACTGGTGGTCACTGTATGAAGAATTCTTGGGTATAATATTTCAGTTTACTTTATTTTGCTATCCTCACTTACAAAAATGAACTATAGTGTCCTGCACCCACTAGTAAAAAAAAAAAAAAAAAAAAAAAAAAAAAAATATATATATATATATATATATACACTACCGTTCAAAAGTTTGGGGTCAGTGAGAATTTTATTTTTATTTTTTGGAGGAAAGAAATCAATACTTTTATTTATCAAGGAATAATTAATTTGATCGAAAGTGACAGTAAAGACATTTATAATGTTACAAAAGATTCTAACCCTAACCCTACTCAAAGAATCCAAAAAAAAAAAAAAACTGTACAACTGACAGACCAACAACTGTTTCAACATTGATAATAATAATAAATGTTTCTTGAGCATCAAATCCTCATATTATACTGATTTGTGAAGGATCATTTGACACTGAAGACACTGACACTGGTGATGCTGAAAATGCAGCTTTGATCACAGGAATAAATTACACTTTACTATATATTCACACAGAAAACAGCTGATTTACACTGGAATAATATTTAATACTATAACTGATTTTTGTTGTATTTTTAATCAAATAAGCGCAGCCATGGTTAGCAGAAGAGAATTCTTTTAAAAGTATTTAAAATCGTACCGACCCCAAACTTTTGAACGGCAGTGTATATATATCTGAAGTCTGAATATTTATAATTTTCTTCTACACTGAAAACCCTAATAAGTTGACTGCATTCAATTGATGGAGTAATATCGTTTTCTCAATTTAATTGAGTAATTGGGTCTCTCAAAACTTAAGTTATATTTAAGTTCACTTAACGTGGTGCTCATGTAGACTACATAAATTGTTATGTTCACTTAACTTGGTGCTCATGTTGTCGACTGAAATTGCTAAGTTTACTCTGTGTTCATAGTGTACTAAAATTGTTGGGTTCACTTAACTCGGTGTTCATTTAGTGTACTTACAGAATTAAGTTCACTTAACTTGGTGTTCATATATAGCTTATTTACAGAATTAAGTTCACTTAACTTAGTGTTCATATAGTGTACTTACAGAATTAAGTTAACTGAACTTGGTGTTCACATAGTGTACTTACAGAATTAAGTCACTTAACTTGGTGTTCATGTAGACTTCTTAAATTGCTAAGTTTTACTTGGTGTTCATAGTGTACTAAAATTGCTGATTTCACTTAACTTGGTGTTCATATAGTGTACTTACAGAATTAAGTTCACTTAACTTGTTCACAGTGTATTTACAGAATTAATTTCACTTAACTTGGTGTTTATATAGTGTACTTAAGTTCACTTGGCGTTACTGTAAACTGAACTTAAATTGCTAAGTTCACTTAACTTTGTGATCATGTAGTTGACTTAATATCTTCCATAATGCAGAGATGTAACACCACAGTACCTGGTTACAGCCATGAACAGGTTCCACCGTGGCTTGACCCATGCGTTTGAGCATGAAAGTGTAACACATGCAGATGGTGATCAGAGGCAGCAAGTAAACAGCCAAGAAGGAGTAAAGAATATAAGCTCTCTTGTGAACGAGAGAAGGAAAGGCCTCGGTGCAGTACGTCTGCGGACCGAACCAGAACGAAGACTCTGTGTGCTGATACAACGCGATCGGCACTGAAAGCAGCAGAGAACCTGCGTGAAAAGATATGAATATAATCATTTATTTTGCCAATAGCCAATAAAAACTATGAAAATAAAAGCCATTCATTCAAACCAAAATAACCCGAATTGGGTGTAGCACAAATGTAATCATGAACTCCAAGAAATTATAATAATGTACTATTCCAGCTAGTCACCTTTAGCATAGAGTCTAAGAAAATAAAGGTTCTTTATTGGAATCGATGGTTCTATAAAGAACCTTTTACATTCACGGAACCTCCATTCCATTGAAGAAAAGGTTCTTTAGATAATTAAAATGTTCTTCATACTAAGAAAAAAAATGGTCCATTAAAGAAATGATCACTGGGGAACCAATAATGGTTCTTTATGGCACCTCTGTGAAAACCGAATTTATTGGTAACACTTTAATATAAGGTTAATTAGTTAACATTTAGCATGAACAAATTAGTGCACTTATACAGCATTTTTGTTAATGTTAATTTCAACATTTACTACTTTATTAAAATCTTGTTAACATTATTTAATGCACTGTGAACTATCATGAACAGCTGTATTTGTATATTAACTAACATTAACAAAGATTAATAGATACTGAAACAAATGTACTGCTCGTGGTTAGTTCACTTCATTCATTAACTAATGTTACTAATGAACCTTCTTGTAAAGTGTTGCCCCTTTATTTTTATGAGTGTGTAACTACAATAAGATTAAAAAAAACTAAAAGTGATTAATATTGGATTTTACTTAAACTGATTGGAATGATTTTCATACATATCCAAATAGTGGTGCACGCAGTCAGAGCCGTCTGTGGTGTTCGATGATGGAGAGACTGGAGTGGGTAAACCGTCACATAAAACCGATCCACACTCATTGCAGACAAAGTGATGCAGGTTGCCTGTGCAGTGACCTGAGATCAGTCAAAGACACACACCTAGATCACACATTCAGCATATACTGTAGGGTTTAGCCTAGAACAGTTTAGATACATTTTTTAGATCCATTCAGTTACACAGGTGAAACTCGAAAAATTAGAATTCCGTGCAAAAGTTCATTTATTTCAGTAATTCAACTTAAAAGGTGAAACTAATATACTATATAGACTCATTACATGCAAAGTGAGATATTTCAAACCTTTATTTGTTATAATTTTGATGATTATGGCTTACAGCTCATTAAAAACCTTTTCACAATATTCAAATTTTGAAGTTGGGGTTTTAATAAGCTGTAAGCCATAATCATCAAAATTATAACACATAAATTCTTGAAATATTTCACTTTGCATGTAATGAGTCTATATAGTATATTAGTTTCACCTTTTAAGTTGAATTACTGAAATAAATGAACTTTTGCACGATATTCTAATTTTTCGAGTTTCACCTGTAAATAAGGCTCCACAACTAGACATTATTGAAGATATTAAGTCAACTACATGATCAAAAAATTAAGTGAACTTAGCAATTTAAGTTCAGTTTACATTGACACTAAGTGAACTTAATTCTGTAAGTACGCTATATGAACGCCAAGTTAAGTGAACTTAATTCTGTAAGTACGCTACATGAACACCAAGTTAAGTAAACTTAATTCTGTAAGTACGCTACATGAACACTGAGTTAAGTGAACTTAATTCTGTAAGTACGCTACATGAACACCAAGTTAAGTGAACTTAATTCTGTAAATACACTATATGAACACGTTAAGTGAACTTAATTCTGTAAGTACGCTATATGAACACCAAGTTAAGTGAACTTAATTCTGTAAGTACGCTACATGAACACTGAGTTAAGTGAACTTAAATCTGTAAGTACGCTACATGAACACTGAGTTAAGTGAACTTAATTCTGTAAGTACGCTACATGAACACTGAGTTAAGTGAACTTAATTCTGTAAGTACACTACATGAACACCAAGTTAAGTGAACTTAATTCTGTAAGTACGCTACATGAACACCAAGTTAAGTGAACTTAATTCTGTAAGTACGCTACATGAACACCAAGTTAAGTGAACTTAATTCTGTAAGTACGCTACATGAACACTGATTTAAGTGAACTTAATTCTGTAAGTACACTAAATGAACACTGAGTTAAGTGAACTTGATTTAAGTGAACTTAATTCTGTAAGTACACTAAATGAACACTGAGTTAAGTGAACTTAATTCTGTAAGTACACTAAATGAACACTGAGTTAAGTTAACTTAATTCTGTAAGTACGCTATATGAACACCAAGTTAAGTGAACTTAATGTTAAGTGAACCTAACGATTTTAGTACACTATGAACACAGAGTAAACTTAGCAATTTCAGTCGACATGAGCACCAAATTAAGTAGCCATTCAGTTATAAATGCATTTTGCCCATTTTTCTGCTCAAATAAGATACTGTAATGAACAATATTATTGGTCTTTATTTACAATATGGCATTTCATGCATTACATTTTTCCTCTCTCCTACATTGAAAAAATTATACAGAGTAAAACGCTCTCACCTGTTGCAGATAATTGACCAGCCGACACATGAAGTCCCCAAATATCCAGCTAGGAAGAGTGTATAAAGTGGCAGTGAAGGGGACACAACAAACCAGGAAAAGTATATCTGTGGTTGCAAGATTAACTGAAGAGAAAGAGAGTGTTTATTAAAACAATGTGAGAAGCACTGTACATGATATTCTGAGAAACAAACCTTTCGTACCTATGTAGAGGTTTGTGACCGTTTTCATCTGCTGGTTTTTGACGACGACATAGATGACTAAAAAGTTCCCCACCAAGCCTACAAACATAATGAGGGTGAAAAACACTGGGACCAGCCAGGCGTCCACCAGCGGCATCGGGCTCTGAGATCTCATGGGATCTGACTGATTACAATCATAAATCTTTGCTTGATTACTGCACAAGATGAGTTGTGGAGCCTCGTTGGTCCTGTTACTTTCTGCCATTAGATAGAGACGCGTCACCATGCTAATAATAACCTGAAACGCAAAAACATATTCAGGTTCATTTTCTAGGAGTAAAAGTGTTTATGTTCATTATGCTATTTTCACATAACGTAAAACGGAGCATACAGGTTATCTCACTGGGTTTTGTGCTATTTATATGAACATGGTTTTTAGTTAAATTGCATTGAATGGCATGCATTGAAATAACAAGTAGACTCTACTTAAGTTCACTTAGCTTGGTGCTCATGTGACTCTACTTAAACTACCAAGTTCACTTAACTTGATGTTCATATAACTTGCTGTATGTCTTAATGTTCATATAGTGTACTTAAAGAATTAAGTTCACTTAACTTGGTGCTCATGTAGACTACTTCAATGAATTAAGTTCACTTAACATGGTTCATATAATGTACTTAAACTGCCAAGTTAACTAAACTTGTTCACATGTGTACTTTAATTGCTAAGTTCACTAAACTTGGTGTTAGTGAACACATACATTTCAATAGCATGCATTAAGTCTTCCAATATCAATGTTCAGAGCAAACGTGCACAGTGAGATCATATCGTTTACAGTCTTCCATATCATCATGATAACTAATGAGTATATAATCAAAAAGATTATATACTATCATTTACCAGTTAAACAAAGATAATAAAGAGCAAAAATCATATTATTAACAATATATCTTTGTTTTTTTCACTGGTTTATACTTGCGAGTGAAACAAATCTGCCAGTGTAGTACGAAAAAACACTTTTATTAAAGTTACATTATATAAAAACGGGTCTCAATATCTTCATATTTCAGGTAAATTTATCGTGTTTCAAGGATTTTTAGATATATTTATTAGATAACAATTTTAAGACTGATTAAACCTTTTTAGAAGTCATTTTGGTAGCACTTTATTTTATTTGTGACAGTTACATACATGTTACTATAATATTAACAGAAAATTATGCATAATTACAAACAACTAACCCCTAAATCAGTTACACCATGTTAAGGTGTTCTTATTACAGTATAGCTATAGTTAATTTACTGATTAATATTAGTTAACATGTACTTATATAGGATTAGGGTTTTGTTGATTGTAATTATGCATAATTTACTGTTATCACTAGAGTTATTACATGCAATGTAAACAAGGACACTTTAAAATAAAGTGTTACCCCTAAATGATACACTAACCCTATAGTTAGTTGTGTTATTTAACTGTAACAACGGCAACTTAAAATGTGTGCACATTAAACAGTCAAACTACGAAATAGACCTAAATGCATCATACAGAGTCTACAATTTCCTAAACACATTGCTCTTTTCCAGGTATTTCCCCAAATTTGACGAAGAAAATATATAAATAATAACATGCAATATTAGCTTACCTCTTTTAAGAACTTTTGCTCTTATTAGAAAGAAAAGATTCTTCGTAAAACATCCTTCAGTCCAACGTGAAGCTAATCTTTGAGTCTGTGGAGATCTCATCATGCAGTGACGTCACTCGAGCACGCGCGCGCGAGCAAAACAGCACGCGCTGTGCAACACCTCTGCAAACAGGGCTTTTCACACTCATTTACACCATTTGTTTTATACAAGGGTTCAACTGTATTTTCATGCTACTAAAAGTGATTTGATATTGGCACTTTTAGCTAGAGTTCAGAAACTAGTGAATGTAATATTGACCTGGTTAACTGCAAAATGAGTGCAATTAAGGATAGTGAGCTCACAGCTGTCCAGCAGGCTGCGTTTACACTTGGCATTAACATGCGATCACCGTGATCCGATCATTAGCCAATCAGGACATGGTGCGTTTATATTTGTTCACATTAAGCAGCCTCTCTATCTGGATAACCGATCAGATTTCTGTTTCCCGCATAATATTTAAATCAGGTCTGTACGTGGCACGACACCAGATTAATAGTAAAGATGATACAAATTAAACAACATCCCAAATGCTTTCACTCACTCACTTTACTTTCATATGCAATCTCCATTAATTAGATCAAATTAGAGTTGATCTTACAAAAATAACTGGGTTGATCATGTTAAACAAGTCACATCATCGATCATCTGGGTTTAAGGTTGCGTGCAATGACTATATTGACAGAAATGGGAGATTGATAAACATGCTGAAACAATAAAAACATAAAAAAATTCCGATTCTGATCCTCTGGCATAGCAGCGTTCAGCTCTTCATTAAGATCTCATGACTGACTGTGAGTGTACAGGCGATCGCCTCGTTCAGATGTTGCACAATTAAAATGAAAAATGACACACATAAATAAACTGTTTTAAAGATTGACGTTTATTGGTCAGATAAGTTTAATTTTGTGTCTAAACTGCGTCTGGCCATTACTCTCTGACAGTCACGCGGGGATTTAAATTACGTTCACCTGTGAATGCAGACACGATGGCTGGATTGCGTTTACATTACACTGAGATCCGATCACAATGCGTCCTCGACTACCTCCGAACCGGGACACGCTGATCGGATAACATTCCGATCAGATGTGCGTTTACACTTGTCTTTTCAATGTGTATGTGGACAATCCAGATACAGGTCGCATGTTAATGCCAAGTGTAAACGCAGCCACACACACACACACACAGAAAATACCGAAACTTGCAGTTGTCTAGTAATATATGAGTTTATTGTCTGTTATGCAGCAATCACTAAAGAAATATATTTCGAAAAGCCATTAGCCTATTAACATTGTGCATATTAAAATTAAATATGCAACAGCTGGCTCAGGAATAAAGGTAGATCACAGCATTATATGCAATCAAAATTCACTCAAAATCTCGCTTGATAGCCATAGTCGCCAGTTATGTCAGGAGCTTCATAGGATTTCTCATCATGGATTTTATTTGAATTTATTTGTAATATTTGAATTAAACAGCTTGTAAACGTTCTTTATCACTAGAAATAAAAACTTAAATAACCTGTTAAACTTGAAAGTATAATCTCTGCACACTTGCCTCATTATACGTGGTTCTATAAATATGCATGCAAATGAGCCCCGCCTCCACTCACTCACTCAGCGATCCACTGGTTGACGATCACACGTTGATCTGATTGGTTACAAGGTCGTTTGTGACGTCAGAAACACCAGCGATTTCAAACCGTGTTTTTGAGACTGTCTTTGGTTCACTGCAGAAAATACTCAGCAATGCTGTCGACTTATGAATTTACACATGGTTCGTCTTAAAGCATATTAAAAACACCACATAGACATAATCAACATTAAAAGCTTGATTTCCACGCAGGGGGAATTGAAGGCCTATTGAACCCTTTTTTCCTAAGGCTGTATACTTTGATAGAAGGAATAATTTAGTCTCGCTTTTATGCAGCTTTATCTCGGCTGTGTAAAGATGCCTTAATTCACAAAGATCATGCTGTGGTTTGGTTTCTTGCGAAGTGGTTCACCTTACCTTTTCTGTCGTTCCAAACCTGTAGCCTATAACGGTTTCTTCTGTAGAACACAAATGAAGATATTTTGAGAATTTGTTTTTGTTCATGCAATGAAAGTCAATCGGATCTAAAAACCAAACTGGACCCCACTGACTTCATTATGGACAAAAAACACAGACCTCAGGCGTGTTTGATAACCGATCGGTGAGATTTGCTGCTTGTAGTCGAGGAGTTGAAAACTTTGACACTTGCTGCTTCCCGTAGTTTGCGTACTTTATCACAGATGAAAAATTTGTCAAATACACAGATGTTTTCATGAAGAAACAGAAACCTTTTTCATTGAATACTTTATGTACTGCTTGATCGCTTCCCAGCACTTTGTGTTCAAAGCAGTTAAAACCGGATCCTGCACGATAAATGGAAGACGTCACTAATACAAGATTCAACCCCATAATGCACCACAATAACGAGTGTACAACCGATGTACACTCAGAGAATACCCATAATGCACTGTGAGGGTTGTGCTGAATGAATTCCCGTGACGATCAGAAGATTTGAGGCAAAGAGGTTAGAAAGTTGTTACTTTTGTACAAAAATATTTATCAGAGGATGCTTACAATAACATACATTCGTCAGATCAATGATGCGCTGAATACTGTAGAAGTTTAAAAAAAGTTCAAAATGGCACGACAAAATTATTATTATTGTATTCAGTATGAGCCACATTTAGTCAAACATCATCGGCATTACATTTTCAATTAATTTTTTGCCATTTTATTTGGCCCCATCACTGATTCATATCTATATCTATATATATATATATATATCACATCATCTATCTATCTATGATTCATATCTATATCTATATACATCACATCATACATATATATATATATATATATCACATCATCTATCTATGATTCATATCTATATATATATATATATATATATATCACATCATACATACAGTGGTGTGAATAAGTTATTACCCCCATGCTAAAGTTGCCTAAAAAGAGGAATAAAAAATCATCTTTTGGAAATTGATCTTAATGCCTTAATTAGAAAAATGAGGAAAAATCCAACCTTTAAGGACACCAATTTTCTTTGTGTATGAATAATGTATCATAAATAAATAAATGTTCTTCCTTAAAATACAGGGTGCATAAGTCAATATATATGCCAATCTCTAGGTATGGTGAAGGGAATGTGATGATGTGGGTCTATTTTAATTCCAAAGGCCAAGGGAACTTTATCAGGATGCATATTATCCTGGATCCATGAAATAACTGGCCTTTAAAAATAAAAATCTGCCTGACTCTATGGGAATTTAACATAGGGGGGGGGGGGGGGGCTGACTTATGCACCCTGTATTTTAAGGAAGAACATTTATTTATTTATGATACATTATTCATACACAAAGAAAATTGGTGTCCTTAAAGGTTGGATTTTTCCTCATTTTTCTAATTAAGGCATTAAGATCAATTTCCAAAAGATGATTTTTTATTCCTCTTTTTAGGCAACTTTAGCATGGGGGTAATAACTTATTCACACCACTGTATATATATCACATCCTCTATCTATGATTCATATCTATATATATATATATATCACATCCTACATATATATATCACATCATCTATCTATGATTCATATCTCTATATATATATATAT